TAACATAACTTTGATTTTTAAAACTTTACTTTTGTTGCGTAAATGCCAATGAACTTTATTATTTTATACTTATTTTTTTTTTTTTTTTTTTTTATTTACGAAATATATTAATATTAAATATGTTATTTTATATATCGAATAATTCCATCCTTGACAATATGTCAACTTTTGACATTTTCGCATATGGTTTATTTGAAATTATAACTTTTGCGGCTCGTAACAGGGTGACTTGAAATACCAAGTCTGTGGAACAAAATTATTCGTAAAAAAAAAAAATTTAAGTAAAAAAATGCTTTTTCCAAATATGCTAATAGGCCACTTTTGTTCATTTTTGAAAAAAAAAAAAAAAAAACGATTAAAAATACGATTTGAGCATTTTTAACTGGCCAGGACAAGACACTAAAACATTATACGATCAAATCTATTTTTTTTTCCAGGCTCCTTGATGCAGAATTAGTGTTTTAACATAGCCGTAGCACTCTAGATTGAATTTTTAAAAACAATTTCTTATTAAGCGAGAATGTCAAAGTTGACACATATATGTCATTCTATTCAGAATGTTATTTTCTATCGAATGAAAAAAATATACAAAAAAAAAAACTTAATTTAAAATTCAAAAGTTGTAGTCATTTTCGGTGAAACAGGAAGTAAAAACAGTGAATACACCAATCAATCTAATTTATGTCATATACTAACATACCAAATCTCGTTTTTATCACGAAAAATAAAAAGTTATAGGGGTGAGCCTTTTGAGACGCGCGGTATATTGCTGAAAAGAGTAGATGAAATATTTTTCAAATGACCGAAACAGAAATAAAAAATAAAGCGTGGCATATCATTGTACTTAGGAGACAGAGTTCTTTCAAAACAAAAAATGCAGGTCTGTATTTAAAACAAAATAAGTTGGCCTCTGTACCTATTTTACAAATTATGAGCTAATTTGAAATTTGAACATCTAAAAATACTATCAGATAGTCATAATAAAATAGCTATGAAAATGTGCAAGTAGTTTTTTGATTTTCGAAAAAGTGACAACAGGAAAAATATTGACTTTCAAAAAAATCAGGTTTTCAAAAACTCAACAATCCTTGAAATTTTTTTTTTTTTTTTTTGATGGCATCTTGGTGAACAGCCCAAGGAGTAATTTTGCCCCAATTTAACCATGATTTATTACGGTTACCAAGATGAAGAGAGAAATGCTCATTACCCCAATTTGTAGCAGCAAGAATTATGTTGTTAATAAACTACCTCAAATTAAGGATAACTAAACAAAAGCTAAAAGCTAAAAGCAATACCATCAAATGAGAAAATCAAGTCGAAAAATAACCGTCGCCGTAGCCATCGAGAGAGAGAGCGAAAACGCATTACCCGAAATTAATTTGCGATCGAAACAAAAAAGGGGTAGATTCTAATTTGCAGATACGATGGTCGTCGGGTTGTGGAAAAAATACGCGCCAGGCCTAATAAAGATTCCGGGCGGGGATAAGATAACCGAAAGAAATACTTAAAAAGGAAAAACGGCCATTAATCAAGATATTTAATTATTGGCGAAAGGAAAATCGAGGGTGAAATATCGCATTTCCATTTTAGCCGGCCGAGAAGGGGTTGGTTGGAAACGGGGTAGATCAGGCGGGGCGATAGGCAAACGGCGACCGATTTTAAATCGGGATAAGTAGAGATTTTATTAAATTTGGTTTGGAAATGTCAAAACTCTGGCTAATTTAATTCGAGGACCGACGATGAAGCGCGGAAGATCGATCTGTGGATCGTTGGCTTGCGATGGATACATTAAAAACCGAAATCAATTTTTTTGCTAATGACAAAATTTAAATTTTAAAAGAAACTTTTGTAAATTAAACAGTACATTGTTTTATTAGGAGTAGAATTTTTAGAATTTAGAATGAGTGGGAGGGGGGTTAATCACTTCGACCTTACAGATCCATTGTGTCCCCTTTCTTGAATCATAGCTCATCATACAGTCACAGGGCTTTGACAAAGCCAGTATCTGGGACGGTTTTATAGAGGTAGTTCTCCATCTACGATACCAGTCGTACCAAAATATATGACACGAATGGTTAGGTTAGTCGTTTCGGCGCACTCAGTGATGAGGTGTACGGGTGTTTCACCATCTTCCCCCACAGAATCTGCATTCGCCGTTTCTTCTCAGTTTCAATCTACTGAGGTGTTCATTGAGGAGACAGTGTCCTGGTCAAAAAACCCCGTGACAATCGAAGATTGTTCTTACTCAGACACAGGAAGATCTGTGATTTTTTCTTGATCATAAGCCATCAGAAACTTCTTCCGAGTGTCCTAGACCATTGCAAGATTTCCATTCCGGGTTGCGGATGGAGTCTTCAAAGTTCTTGAGTTCCGCCTTGAGTTAGTTACCACTTGGAAAGCAGAACGGTTCTGGAGGCCAGTTGGTGGAGTGTTCGCTCCTTCCCTAGCTAGATTATTTGCTTTTTCATTGCTTCTATCCCTTGGTGAGCAGGCACGCAGTGTAGGAGGACTTTGTTTTCTTTGCCTAATTTATTCAGCTTCTCACATGCGTTCTTTGACCAATTTCGAATTAATTGATACTGAGTTGATCGCCTTTAACGCTGCTTGACTATCCAGATAAGATGGCTATTTCTTTCCGATAGTTCCTATCTAAGATAAGTTTTGTACGCATCTCTCGATAGCGTAGATTTCTGCCTGTAGGATACTAGGGTAAAGTGCCCATTGGTTCGGGTATTTAGTTCTCGGCCCAAACACTCCGATCCCTGTTCCCGTATTGGTTTGGAAGCATCCAGTATACCCAGGAGATTACGGTATGGTCTTTTAACTGCTGGGCAAGCGTTTCGCTCTTCCTATCCTTCTTATTGCTCAATACTACATTGACATGTTTGTCAAAAGTTGTACGTTCCCAGCATATCGTCCACTGGGGTTGCAGAAATTGGTATTTCCTTTTGAGGGTGTTCCAAGCCCCTGATCTGACAAATTCTCCAGTACTATTCCGTTAGTGACCATTCTAATCATTGTCGCATTGGCATATCTACCAATGACAATGTGCAGTGGTGTTAGATCTAGAATGACCTCCATTGCTGCTCTTGGACAGATTCTCATGGCTCCTGTGATGCAAACACATGCTAGTCTCTGGACTTTGCATAGGTCTTAGGAGTAAAAATGATACTTTTGGTGGCCAGTCTGTTCGTTTACGACATTACAGGCGAGACACAAAAAGTAATTTTTACTCCGAATCAAACATGGTATTTATTTTTCAAAAATAATTTTTTAAACAATTTTAAACGTTCCAAATAGTATAAAAATATTTAAAATTAATACGTTGTATATATATATTGAGAAACTATGGTTATGGCTGGTTGAATTTGACACTTTATGTCAGTACTTTTATGGCTAGGCGCTAAAATGACTTTTTTATATTGTCAATCACGTCGCAAAAACTGATACTTTTGTGGCTTGTGGCCAGTGGCGTAGCTACCTAGGGGCTAGGCGGGGCAGTGCCCCGGGGCCCTCAAGCTCAGGGGGCCGTCAAATCCTTACCAGAAATCTCGATCGAACTGAACTTTTGGAGAAATTCCTCCCATTTTCAGAATAAATATAACAGGTGACCCCACTTTAATCATGACAACTCAGTTGAGGGAAATTATGCCTAGGGAATTCCCCTAAATTCTTTCTGTAGGTTGGCAGTGTTGTCAATTTGCCGGATAGAGATATGTGCGTTTTATTATTCATGGATATGCGTTTTATTGTGAATTCGAGTTAAGATTTTTTTTTCGAGAACGGTTAAAAAATTAATGCTGTATCAGAAGTAAGTAAGCTAATGTCAATAAACTTTTTTGTACGGGTCAATATACCTAGTGGTTCAATTTTATTTGATTTTACCACTCATTTTGATGTCCGTTAAGTCAATAAATCGTGTCAAATCTCTAGATTTCGGCTACAGCTCATTGTATAATTCGAAATAACGTGAAAAAATGCAAGTCACCTGCAGTAGGTACATTAATTCAGGTCCGCGGCCCGGAGATCGTTCATGGTCTCCACCGATAATTGTGGTAAACCTTAGTGTTACCACTGGTAACACTAAGGTTTGTGCAAGCTGTTGTGAACATACATTTAATATGGTTATATGTATATGTATATTCGACAAATTGTATAAAATATTATTTTTCACTTATTCTACGGCTATGCTTAAAGAATTTAAGGTACGAAAAATACCATCAACATTATTATTCTTCTCAGAAAGATGGGTGATGCAAATAAACAGAACCAATACCTTAAGATGAAATTTGGAAGAAGTAGTCATAAATAGTTGCATCATTTTTGAGTTTTCCTTTGTAATTCGTTTACTTTCAGACGCGATGTCTGGTTTCTATTTACTTAAGAAATGGTCATGTTTGTCCTTTTGCAAACCTACCTGAAAATATTATTAAGAAATAGCAGGTACGCCCGTGGATTTTCGGGGAGGGCATTCTCATAAAAGCACAGTCTGGCGGGACATTCGCTTAAAAAAATTTTTCATAAGACGTAATACTGCTAAATTTATATTTTGTATTAAAAGTTTAAAAATAAAAAGTAATAACAACTTAGTAAAATTTAATTATAAAAAAATAAGAATAACATTCCCAACAAGTGGTGATACGAGTCAAATTGAGAACTACAACATTTGGTGGCAGCGACTACAAGATTGGTGACGACGGTGGTCCAATCCGGGATCACGACATTGAGGTGGCAGCGGTAAAAACTATCAAGGTTTCCTGAAGGTGCGCCAGCCGCAGCAGAAAACCTACCAGTTTTTGGAAGAAGATAGAGGCAACGGGCAGTTCTTGAAGGTGCACCAAGAAGCAGCAAGAAGCCCGACACGAGGCGTAGACATTGGGGACACTGAAGGAGCGCCAGACGCAGCAGCAAGTCTCCAGGGAAGCTTTTGTTTTCACCAGATGATGACGGGGTAAGTCTTTCATTTGTTTACTGTATTGTGACGCTACTGTTTTTCTTCCGATTTTAGTTAGTTAGATTTAAGTTAAGACAATAATAATTCTGGGCTGCAAATAACAAAAAAAAAAAAAAAAAATATTGCTTAAAATTCGTAAATATTTTTTCTCTCTTCTTAAATACATCTATAAAAATAAATAATTCATAGAAACTAAAGTAATAAATCATTAATAAAATATAATAATGGCTGGAGGTAAAGACGCAACTGATGTTCTGAATTTAATAATTCATTTGATGGTCAGGGTGACGCAAATTCACTTCAATTTTTCTTAAAAAATTGTGATTCAATATTAAAAATTGTCAAAGTGGATCAAAAGAATTACTAGTAGATTTAATTTTGGTACTAAATTAAAAGGGAAGGCACAAGAGGTAACACAATATAAACAGTTTCAAAATTGGGAGAACTAAAAGATTTCTTATTAGAGCACTTTACTGATAAAACACCACCATCGCATTTTCTAGCACAAATAATGAATATAAGGCAACATTTTAGGGAAACTGTAAAAGAATATGGCGATAGATTACAAATTCTCTTTAATAAATATAAAGAAACGTGTCCTTAAATTAATGCAAATAACCGAAGCTACTGTTTAATAGAAAAATTTAAACTCCATTTTAGTCAATACTTTTAGAAAAGGACTCAACGATGAAAAATTTCAAATGCGTATTATTGCCGAAAATACTACATATTTAGAAAAAGCTTTATCATTAGCAATTGAAATGGAACTTGAGAATAATGACAGGTTTAAAACTCGCATTTTAAAAATATAGGTTTGGTAGAGCGCATTAAAATAGACAATTATAAATAATCATTCTTCTAATAATTCCTGTTTATTTTGTTTTAAAAATAATCATTTAACATCACAGTGTAAACAGCTTAGGCAATACAGGAAAAAATTCAGTAAACTCTTATAATAGAAATGTACCTAGCAATAATCAGACACGCCCACCGCAAAATTTTAATAGCAATAATTTTTCAAATAGACAAGACGTAAATACAATTTACAATATAATCAAGGACGTTTCACTAATCGAAACTTCAACAATCAAAATTTTAATCAGAACAACGACGTGCGTAATTATAATCGTAATTATGGTAACAATTACAACAGTAATAATCCCGTGCAAGTACAATAATAGATATTCTCAGAATCCAAGAAGTTTTAATAACTCACAAGTTCCTCAACGGCAGCAAAATGTTTCGATACCTCAGCAATCTCAAAATTTTTCTAATTACAATAATGAATTCAGTACTACCAATTTTAATAGTTCAAATAATAAATCACCACAACAAATTCAAACTATAAATTCTCAGTCGTTAACCAATTCAGCAGATAATTATTTTTCAGAACCGAGCACATCTCAAAATTTTTCGGAAACGAGAGCGAAGCCTTGGTCGCAAGCAGCCGATTAAGCGCTTCTTAAAATTAGATAATAGCTGTTCTATGAATTACACACTACCTGAGCATAAAAAATAAAATTAAAGAACAAAACCCAGGCTGACATACCGCATAAATCAGTATTATTTTCCGATAGTTACACCAACAATTGAATAATTAAAATCCCTTCTTTAGATATAAAAGATAAAAATTACATCTTTTATTAGATACAGGGGCAGATATATCTTTATTGAAAGAATGTATCTTATTACAAAATAATCTGGTCTGTAATAAAACTTGCATTATAAATTAATTAAAACAATAACAAAGCAATAACTCATCCTTTTCACATTGTGCCAGATAGTATACCGATTAAAAGTGATGGACTATTAGGACGCGATTTTTTTGCAAAGTATAAACCAAAATAAATTACGAAGACGTAGTCATTAATTTTGAAGACAATTTTTTTAAAATTTTTTGCCGTCAGAAGCAACTACAATAATTCCCGCGAGATGTCAAATTATTGTACCTGCTCTAGCCAATTTATCTTCGTCCGAAGGCATAGTAGTTTCAAAACAATTATCCGAACATTTATATCTAGGGTCAAGACTAACAAAAGTCCAGAACTATAAATGTTTGAAGATTACATTAAACTATATTTTTCTAGATAGGCTCAAACTATCCATACACCTAGAGAGAATGTCGAACCTATTTCTTTTAATGAGTACGAATTTATAGAAACATATAATTATGACTATCGATCGTTTTTGTAAAATAAGAAAAAGAAATTAATCTAGACCAATTAAATGAAGAAGAAACTAATTCAGTATTAGATATTTGTAGAGATTTTAACGATATTTTTTACTTAGAAGGCGATAAACTAACAAAGCACCAACACAATAAAACACACTATACCGACAGAAAGTAATAAGGTCCTATTAACGTAAAACCTTATAGTTTGCCTTTCAAACATAAAGAAATAATTAATACTGGAACAAACTGAGCAAATGTTAAAAGACAGGGTAATTTCCGCTTCGGACAGTCCTTGGAATAGTCTTTTACTAGTTGTTCCTAATAAAAGCGACCCATTATCACATAAATTTAGAGTATGCGTTGGTTTTCGAAAGTTAAATGAAATTACCATTGGAAACACATATCCTCTACCTAATATAGCAGAAATTTTTTAGACCAGTTAGGGAGAAAATCTCATTATTTTTACTACCTTAGATCTTACTAGTGTATTTCATCAGGTAGAAATGGACGAAAAAGATAAAAATAAAACCTCTTTTAGCACTAATACAGGACATTACGTTTATAACAGAATGCCTTTCGGGTTAAAAGGAGCTCCCGCCACATTTAAAAGACTCATGAACACAGTTTTAAGCGGTCTTAATGGTATGAAATGCTTTATTTATTTAGATGATATAGTAATTTATGCAAACAACTTAAATGAACATAACGATAGATTAATTGAAGTTTTCAAAGATTTAGACAACATAATTTAAAACTTCAACCTTCGAAGTGTCAGTTTTACGAAAAGAATGTTTATACTTAGGTCACATTATTACAGAAAACAGCATTAAACCAGATCAATAAAAAATTCAATGTAACAAACTTTTTTTCCACAACCCTAAAATCCCTAAAGATGCCAAAATCTCTTTTAGGGCTTGTAGGATATTATAGGAAATTTATCAAAAATTTCGCTAAAATTGCTAAAACTTGCTTTAAACTTCGAATTATTAAAAGATTCTGTTTTTAATTGGGGTATAAAATGCGAAAATTCTTTCAAATTCTTAAAGATAGTATAACTTTTCCACCTGTTCTCCAATACCCAGATTTTACCAAAGAATTTGTTACATAACAACAGATGCAGTAATTTCACCATTACGGGATCAATTTTATCGCAGGGTAAGGTTAATCATGATCGTCCAATAGCGTTTGCTAGTAGAACTCTAAATAAAGCAGAACAAAATTATTCAACTTCAGAAAAGAGCTAACTGCAATCATCTGGGCAGTAAAACATTTCCGTCCATATTTTTTTGGCACAAGATTTAAAATTGTTACAGATCACAAGCCCCTACTCTATATATTATCAAAGACCCTGGTTCTCGTTTGACGCGTTTTAGAATAAAACTTGAAGAATATGACTATGAAATAATTTGTAAAGCTGGAAAGATTAATACAAATGCTGATGCATTGTGTAGAATAGTTAGCACAACAAATGTCAATTCTATTATTACCAATTATGATAATTTTAAAAACACATCTCGAAAGCCATATAATTATTAATTCAAAGTCAAAGAAAAAAAACACAAATCTGTTTGAAACACCACAACTTATACCTATAGTTTTATTTTGCCAAAATTATTCAACAAAAACGACTTTAAAATTCTAGAAAAATAAACAAATTAGCTTATATTTTTTAGAACATTACGATAACACAAATCCTTTAGACATGCCGTCAGTTTTCAGTATCAACAAAATAATTGTAATATATTTCACAGTAACAGACAACGAAAATACATTCAGTGATATTAATTATGAAAATATTTGGTCTTTCTTACTAACTTTACGAAATATTATATCCAACGAAAAACCGAACTATCATTTATAAAATATCATTGCAACTCATTAGTCAAATGGGAAATCGTTCTTCCTATGATAAGATATATATTTTTAAAGACCTCTATTCAGAAATTACAATATTTAACAAACAGTCTTATCAACCCTCAGATGCTGAAAAGTTGTATTATTAAACGAAAATCACAATTGTCCATTATGAGGTCATCAAGGGTCATCCCGCACATATAAAAAAATTATCTCAATTATATACATGGAAAGGTATGAAAAAGACATAAAAGAGTTTATAAAAAATGTGAACTTTGTCAAAAAATAAACAGTCTCGAAAAACAAAAATGCCTATGGTAATTACGACTACGGCATCAAAACCGTTCGAAAAATGTTTTTAGATATAGTTGGACCACTACCAGAAACCGAAAATGGTCACAAATACATATTAACCTTTCAGGATGATTTAACAAATATATAAGGTAATATACCACAAACTGAGAAATCAATAAGCTGTAACTGTAGCGCATCATTTTGTAACGAATATTATATGCATTTACGGAGTACCTGACATGCTAGTCACAGATCAGGGGTCAAATTTTTTAAGTGATATTTTTTAAAAGTACTTACAAGTTTTTAAAGATAAAAAAAGATCCAAACAACAAGTTATCACCCAGAGTCAAACAGAGCACTAGAACGCTCTCATAAAGTTCTAGAAGAATATTTAAGACACTTCATTAAGACATATCAAACAGACTGGGATAATTGGATTCCCTATGCAACATTTACATATAATACTACACCTCACACTGCTACACAATTTTCTCCATTTGAACTTTTATTCGGACATATTCCTACATTACCAACATCAGTTAAACAACCACCTAAAGTCAATTATACTTATGATGATTTCATAAACAATCTTAAACAAAAATGCAACATTCTAATCAATTAGCTAAAGAAACTTATTAAAATGTAAAAACACATATCAAAAAATAATTACGATAAAAACAGTTACACCAGAATATTCGAAATTGGTGACAAAGTGTTACTTTACGACGAATCAGTTCGACGTGGCAGAAGTAAAAACTTTCCGCCTTATGGATTGGTCCATATACCATTATAAAAAAATATCAGATGTAAATTATACAATTCAAAAAAGGAAAAAATAAACAAACTATTCATGCAAATAGATTAAAAATATTTTATTATTAAAACTAAACATAATCAGTATATATATATAAAACTAAAATTAATAAATTTTGAAATTAGCTTATTGATATATATATTTTTGTTTTAGGGTTAATTTATTTATAATAATTACCAGTAACACTTGGTTGTTTGCAGTTCCTCGCATCAAACTGCCAAGTATCATGTAATAATAAAAAAAAATCACGTAAGATGTAATACTAAAAATTGCGGTAGTGTCACTATAGGTAAACAATGTAAAGCTTATAGCGCATCATCAATGCTAATCCCTCATGGAAATACAGTCCAGTCCAATATTTCAAGTGATTTTATTCCACCATTCGACATTAGTGATAATTGTTGCGAAAGGATAAAGGAAGAAAAAATAAACATTAGTGAAATATTTCTCAACGAACATTATAGGAAATTAACAAAGCACATCCCGAACTTAATGTAGCGAGCCATAAGCTAGAAGATATTGAAAAGTTAGGTGATGAAATTCTAAAAGGAAACTTGTAAACAATTATACATTTCCAGCATCTGTAATTGCCTATATCTTAGCTCTTCTTGCTATTATTTTTATTATTTATAAATTGTATACAAAATGTACTAGCAAGACAGCCTGTTGCGGAATTATTCCAAACTTATGCATTAGAGTTAATCAGTCTTTGGAACCATCTTCTAGAAATAGTGATAGATAGCAATGCTCATTATAATCATAATATTAGCCAAAACTCTGAAAATGTAGGTAACTATGAAAACTCCGAAGAAGAGAATTTTAATTTACAGGCGCCCTCGCGCAGACCCATTGGGTATGTACCATCAAGGCGACCATTAAAGAAAAAATAATTTCCGCATTTGATACATTTTTAAATCTGCAATAGTTATAAAAAAAAAATGTTAGTTAAGTTAGAATGTAAGTTAGTTATAATTAGTAGTTAAGACTTGTATAATAACATATGTATTTTTATTCATTTCCATCTGAGTTATACTAATTAATTATATAAACATTTGTTTTTTTGAGATTCCATATCACTTTCACCTCATGAAATCTCTCATTAAGGAGGGAGGTGTTGTGAACATACATTTGTAATATGGTTATATGTATATATATTCGACAAATTGTATAAAATATTATTTTTACCCTTATTCTATGGCTATGCCTAAAGAATTTAAGGTACGAAAAATACCATCAACATCATTATTCTTCTCAGAAAGATGGGT